TTAACAGCTTCCGGAGACTTTTGTCACAGAATTTTCTTTCTAAATTATCTGCTTTATCACCGCCTGCTAATCAAGTACCCGCTTTCTTCATGATATGCTTCAGTAGAAATACCTGCTTCCGCTGCTTCTTCATCGCTCGATGGCTCAGCCTCTGCTCCTTCCCCCCACCACCCTTCCCCTTCCCGTCCTTCCCCCAACCACAACCTCCCTTCTCCCCCGCCTTCCCCTGCCCGCTCTCGTCTCCCCCGCCCTCTTCCTTCCCCCCCGCCTCCCCATTCCCGCCCGCGGCGGCCAATGATTTTCTGCCACCTGGCGGCATCAGGAACTCCTTCTTCACAGGCGCCCGTCCGCGCGCAGCTTGCTCCTCCGCCGTCCCCCAGTCGCGCGCCTGAACCTCCCCGTTAGCAGCCTGAGGGGGAGAGAGGGAGAGAGGGGGGAGAAAGGGTGAATTGTGAATTGACTCACAAAGCTCCTCCGCCGTTCCCCAGTCGCGCGTCTGAACCTCCCCGTTAGCAGCCTGAGGGTGGAAAAGAAAGGGCGACTTGTGAATCGACTCAAAATCTCTTCCATCCCCGAATCGCACAACTGAACCTTCCCGTCAGCAGACTGCGAGGGGCAAAGAAAGGGGCAGTGAAAAAAAAGAGGGGCGGAAGGGGGGGTGGGAGAGGAGAAGGGGGAGGGCAATGGTAGGAGGAAGGTGGGGTGTGGGATGAAAGGGGGAAACAATGATAATATCAAGGGATATCCGCGTCCCGGCGCAGAGCTACCGTTTCGCACCGTTCAAATTGCACGAATAGAGGAGACGTAGGGGGAAGGAGATCGAGAGACTTGAAAGGAACACGTGAACGCAGTTGAGAGGGTTTTCGGCAATACTGTCACTGGCAGTTAATGTTACGCGATAGCTAATGCGGAAACTCCTTCTAGGCCTTGGCGGAAACTCGAATCAACGCGTCCGGAAAAAAAGCGCCAGAGAAAAAGCCGTGAGGAACGACGACGAACAACTGAGCAACGACGGACGCAGTCGCGGACGCTTGCAAGTGGGAAACCCGACATGGATAACTTGCGATGGAGGCAGCTTGCGACCGGTGACTTTTGAGGCGCCTCAAAAAATGACTTTCGAGGCGCCAAAAAAGTCGCTTGCAAGTGGGAAACCCGACATGGATAACTCGCGATGGAGAAAGATTGCGACCGGGAAAACATGATGCTCCCACCCTTCCACCGCTTTGCATAAAATAATCACCCAATCATCTCGCGAATGGCTTACCGCGTCCTCCGGCGCAGCGGCGCCATTGGTTTGAACGGTCTCCTCCACAGCCGCCATGGCTGGGGACCGTCGATTTCTAAATGCTAATTGTTAGTTACAACGCGTGCTCGCCGATCGGTCTAAGCAACGATTGCTAGTTATGAGACGTAGGAATGGGACGAGAATGGACTGGAGCAGAATTGAGCAAACGAGGGCTTAGGTTTCTGCAAGGGGCTTGGTTTAGGGCTTGCCGCGATCAACGAGGGGGACGAGGTTCCTTGCTTCGCATCCTCCTCAGGTGCCCATGGTCCAGTGGGTTCAGGCTTCGGTTGGGGGGCCTCCGTTATGACCTCCACGTAAATTGCTAGCTTTTCATTTTTCCCTTGACTTATTCTCTACCTAGGTGTTTTTAGAAACAATAGCTACTCGAGTACATTGCAAAAAATATACTGTAAGATCAGTTCTCGCTGGGAGCATATATTTATAGTGCTGGGTAAATGTGAGAGGAAAAATCTTGCAACATTTATTCCATTAGATATGCTGTGACACGCAGATTCAGCACTAAGCCCCTAAGCAATGGCGCTTTGCCCGCTAGCACCCGCCACGTGTCACGCCACTCGAACGCCACTAGCGTCGAGGTCGCCCCAACCTTGGATTTCCAGTCGAAGCGCGTCATCTCTATCTTCCGCGCGAATTTCATTCTCTCGCCAATGTCGGCAGCAGCTTTCGCTACGACAACGGGCTGGGAGCAGAACTTCGGAAAGCCGGAGGGCTGCTGCTGTCGTAGCGATGAGCGCGAGCCAATCGGACGCTGCCACGACAGCAGCTTCCCAGGCTAGCGATAGTGAGTGGCTGGAGTCGATGTGGCCAATACCTTAGGAGTGGCCACTCAGTGCGGGGAAGAGTGCGGGGAAGAGTGCGGGGAAGAGTGCGGAGAAGAGTGCGGGGAAGAGTGCGGGGAAGCGTGCGGGGAAGAGTGCGGGGAACAGTGCGGGGAAGAGTGAGGGGAAGAGTGCGGGGAAGAGTGCGGGGAAGCGTGCGGGGAAGAGTGCGGGGAAGAGTGCGGAGAAGAGTGCGGGGAAGAGTGCGGGGAAGCGTGCGGGGAAGAGTGCGGGGAAGAGTGCGGAGAATAGTGCGGGGAAGAGTGCGGGGAAGCGTGCGGGGAAGAGTGCGGGGAAGAGTGCGGGGAAGAGTGCGGGGAAGAGTGCGGGGAAGCGTGCGGGGAAGCGTGCGGGGAAGCGTGCGGGGAAGAGTGCGGGGAAGAGTGCGGGGAAGAGTGCGGGGAAGAGTGCGGGGAAGAGTGCGGGGAAGAGTGCGGGGAAGAGTGCGGGGAAGAGTGCGGGGAAGAGTGCGGGGAAGAGTGCGGGGAAGAGTGCGGGGAAGAGTGCGGGGAAGAGTGCGGGGAAGAGTGCGGGGAAGAGTGCGGGGAAGAGTGCGGGGAAGAGTGCGGGGAAGAGTGCAGGGAAGAGTGCGGGGAAGAGTGCGGGATGACACCCTGCTTATCGCCGCGGAGCCGACTCCTAGCGTTTGTCCTAGCGTGCCTTACTGCCATCGAACCCACAAGTACCAACTCGGCTCCCCTTCCCGACACCCTCCCCTTCCCCACACGCAGAGGACAAGGACTGTGCGTATGCGGACCTCAAGGGCATCAAATCATCGAGTTACCCTCTTCTTGTCCGAGCGTATGCACCAACCCCCACCCTCCCCCCTCGCCCACAGCTACGAGCCTAGCGTCATCGGCTGCACGCTGGACAAGGACCGCCGCCCGCGCGTATGCACATCTCAAGGGCATGGGCCCATGATATAACTGTTTGCCGCGAGGGTGGTGGTACCCTCAGCAATGTTTACATGATCTTTTGAGGCGCCTCAAAAGTTGTTTACATGATCTTTTGAGGCGCCTCAAAAGTTGTTTACATGATCTTTTGAGGTGCCTCAAAAGTTGTTTACATGATCTTTTGAGGCGCCTCAAAAGTTGTTTACATGATCTTTTGAGGCGCCTCAAAAGTTGTTTACATGATCTTTTGAGGCGCCTCAAAAGTTGTTTACATGATCTTTTGAGGCGCCTCAAAAGTTGTTTACATGATCGCTATCCCCTCTCGCCCTCAGCTACGAGCCTGGCCGGCGTCATCGCCTCCACGCTGAACAAGGACCGCGCGTATGCAGACCTCAAGGAGCTATCATCCTGAGTCTCTGCGACATGCTATCATCCTATTACCGCTGAGGAAAGAGACAGTCCGCTGCTACCGCTACAACCATTATCAATCTCCCTCCCTCGCCCCTCTCCCTTCTCCCTTCTTTCCCCAAAATCCGCCTGTTGTATCCCCTTGTTCGCAGCTCCTGCTTCTGCGTTTATTGGGTTGCACCATGTGGGGATATTGTGCGCGGATCTGGACAAAGCACTTGACTTCTACTGCGGCGTGCTGGGTGAGTTTTGAGGCGCCTCAAAGTACACCTCAATGCACTCGGGTTGCACCATGCGGGGATACTGTGCGCGGATCTGGACAAAGCACTTGACTTCTACTGCGGCGTGCTGGGTGAGTGTGTGTGGCGGGTTGACTCCAAAGTCAAATTACTGGGCTTCTACTGCAGTGCGCTGGGTGAGAAAGTGAAATTGTGGCTGGTTAATGTAGAGTAATCCAGAGAGTCTCTCAGAGACGGGAATGGCAGACAGAAACGAGTTCACCTCTTGCTTCAATCTCTAGCAATGGGCTGGGTGGGCGTGGTGGGACAGCAGAGCAGGTTGCAGAGCCATGCAGGGACAGAGAAAATACAATCAAATGAAATCTGAAAAGGGCTACAGAATGGTGTAAGAATAGGGTATAGGACGTGCAAACCAGGGAGCGTGCGTCGTAACTTCCCCACCTCCTCTTCTGCCCCCTGGTAGCCTTCATCTGTTGCATTGTTTTCCACCTGAAACAGGCCTGGAGGTGAATGACTCGCGGCCCAATCAGAAGCTGCCATATGGCGGCAAATGGTTGTGGATTGGTCAAGGGGAGGGCAGCAGGGGTGGCATGATCCACCTTATGGTGCTGCCCAATCCTGATCCGACATCTGGCAGACCTGAGCACGGCGGTCGGGACCGACACACGTGCATCGAGGTTGCTGATGTGGCACCGCTACAGGCTGCGCTGGATAGAGCAGGTGACAAGCTGGCATTGGCATGGCATGGGATGACATGCATGGCATGCGGCGACATGCATGGCATGCGATGGTCAAGGATAGCAGACAGGCTGAGGAAGGGACGAAAGTCGATTGTCGGCATGAGGCAGTGAAAGGGTAATTTGCACTTGTGGCAGCTAGTTCATCATTCAACAGCCGTTTCTCCTTTCCCGCCATAGAAGTTTCGCATGGGGATCTCCCACCCTCTGTTGTCGCCGCCTTTTTTACCATTTTGTGTGCTGTTCTTGTGTCTAACATGCAGGAATTCCTTACACTATGAGCCAGTCAGGCCGGCCAGCTGTGTTCTGCCGTGACCCAGATGGGAATGCTCTGGAGTTTGCACAATTTTAGTTGTGGAAGTTGCATCTTGCGTCACGAAATATATTGACAATCGCAAGTATTTTGCCTATTATTTTTTCTGTATCATTTGTTTGTGCCAATATCTAAATCAGCTTCGACCTGAAGTCTTGGCCCAGTTCCACACAACCATGCTTTGATCAAACCGTATTTGAAAATGCTTTTACTGTATAATTACCGTATGTACCATCTGCATCTATTCTCAACATGCCAAACCAATGAAACGCGCCGCGATTTGAACAGCTAGTGAAGTGACTGGTTTGAAGTCTCCTTTTACAGGGAGGCTCAGTTGTGGTTCGGAGAGCTTCGGCGGGCTGGTCTGGAAATACACTTGGTCCGAGCCTCATTCTTCTGCGTATGGCAAGGCATGTTTCCCTCAACGCTGGTTTGGGAAGGTTAGGGCTTAGGGCGGGTCAAAAGAGTACGTCCGAATGCGGTTCAAAAGGTCTAGGCTTGATCCAGAGAGGTCTATTTTAGACAACATATGGTTCGGTAGGGTTTCCTGCGAATACGTGCAAAGTTTGACCCGCCCTTATGGCCTGTATTTCCAAGCCAGTGCCCAGCCAGACTTTTACACCGAAAAGCGCTTGGGCTCATCAAGGGCTGAATTTGCCTACTGCGATTCGGCACCCCCACTTCCGCCCGTGGTTCTCAAAAGATAACCAGAAACCGCCCATTCGTCATCGGAGGGCTCCAATGTGCGAAAGACAATTGCCCCAGCCGCGTGTTACCTACCCGGAAACAAACAAACTAGCACCAGCGACGGAGAGCCTGCAAATTGGGAAGGTGAGCTCGAAGATTTGTCCCGAATCGCCAATGGCATTGAACCCAAATTCGCCCCTCTCGCGCCCCCTTGCCGACAACACACCTACCCTCGCACGAGATGACTTCTTGCACTTCTCTCTGCAGTTCCCACTCTAGTCCCTCTGAACCGACCTAACCAGCAACTTTCTCTCCATCGAACATAGTACTACTGTCATATCCTGCGCCTGTCCACAACGAAACCAGTCATTCTTTCCGCGTTGAACTTTTCGCTGCAAATCTGGTGCTGGGCAGTATAACCCAGACGTACCCTTTTTCTACGGCAGTCAAGCGTCCCACGAGAAGTGATCTGAAATATAGGAGATTTCACATTCATTCTTCCACTTCTCTTCGTCCTTTTGCACATAAGATAGTTCCTTTTGTAGTCGTTCCTTCAAGAAATATGGGCGTACGGCACCCAGCGGCGCTATTAGCCGACAGACGGAGCGGGCGAAACGCTTTTCACCTCCCCATCATTGGTGTTGCCCTTCTGCTTCTCTTGATTCTCGCTTCGTCGAATTCAGCAACCGCCGGACATGTGATGCGGTTTCCCCTCAACAGAACGGCCCCTGCAGACCGACTTAGTAACTCGGCTGACGCGTTTCGCCAGGCTTTCGCAGAGAAGGAGCTGTCGTTCGCACGCGAAATGGAAGCACCGGAGTTGCCACACGACGAGTGGGTTAGCGAAGCTGCGCGAGAGTTCGGCGGAGGGTTCTCCAATGTTACACGTGGTGAAGCGGCGAAGGGCAACGAAACGGCTTTCGCGCAAGCCCACCGAAGATCGATGCGACTGGTGCGGGGTAAACGCGGCTGCAGTCTCACGACGGGGTCGTGGGTGCTCGACAATAACCGACCCGCGTATGATGAGAGCACGTGTCCACACCTCAAGGTATGATACCAGGCTCACGAACCGAAAATGTTCGAAATCGCACATGCCAGAACACAAAGCACGGCGGCGCACAACCCCGACGCGCTCCGTTGGTATCTCCTCCCACCTCAAAGCCCTATCTCAAAGCCCTAACGTTTCTCTCTATCCTTTGGATATTATGTCACCCCATACATCGTCTCCTTCCATCTTGCAGGAGGTCGCGACTACCACGAATTGCTTAGGTTCGCGCTTTTCTCGGCCTGATCGCAACTGGATGGTAAGTGCAAGTCAGCACGGTCAATGTGAGTCAAACTGGCTGGCGAGTGCAAGTCAACGCGTTCAATTCAAGTCAAACTGGCTGGTGGGCTTTCTTTTTTTCCTTTTTCCTGGGTCAACCTGGTTGGGAACCTCCGTGTCAGCAGCTTGCGGAAGACCCACGAGTACGAAGTTCAGTCTCCGTTCCCCTGTATCACAGCATTCATTGCTCCACTGCTGAATTGTGTTTCGAATCAGTAACGTGTCTCCTCCCTTCGATCCCATCCCATCACATCCCACTCCATACCATCCCACTCCATCCCACCCCGATCCCATCTCATCCCGTGCTGCCAGCGTTACTCGTGGAAGGCGCACGAATGCGGCTCGCAGCCTCTTCGATTTGACGCGCGTAATTTCCTCGAGAAGATGCGAAACAAGTGAGCCTCTTTTCCTCCCTACCCCCCAACTCGCCCACAATCACCCTCACTCGCTCACCATTGCCCCCAAGCGCCCCCATTAGCACCCAGACACGTGTAATCGTTCAACTTTTTACAGTCGCCTGCAGTCGTCCGCCATTCGTTTTTGTAAACCTCGAGCCTTGCAGGACACGCGAATAGCGCATGGTAATAATTAGCTTCAACTCCGCAAACATGCCACGACAATTTTCAAGTCTCCGCATCTGTACCGTACACCCCATCCCCGTTACAGGAACATCTTGTTTGCGGGAGATTCGCTAATGTGGGAGGGCTTCTTCCCGTCGTTCCTGTGCCAAGTGCACCGCGCGTCACCCGCGCGCAAAGTGAACTACGACAGTCGCTTCAAGCAGACCACGTGGACGGTGGACGAATACAAGGTCACGCTCATCCACGTGTGGAGCCCCTTCCTCATGGACTTCAGTTCGGATTCTAAGGTACGAAGCGAACGAGCCTTGCTGTGTGGGTGGGCTGCAATTCTGATCCAGCATTTACAGCAGGTGGTTAGACAGCCGCTTCAAGCAGACCACGTGGAGGGGGGCATTGATTGAAGCTCACGCTCATCCACGTGTGGAGTGGAGCCCCTTCCTAATGGACTTCAGTTCCGATCCAAGGTGCGCGCCTTGCAGTGCGGGCTGTAGCGCCGATCTAGCATGCAGCAGGCAGTTCGGCAGCCGCTTCAAGCAGACCACGTGCACGGTCGACGAGCTCAGAGTCCCTTTCTCACAGGTGAGCTCATCCACGTGTACGGTCGACGAGCTCAGAGTCCCTTTCTCACAGGTGAGCTCATCCACGTGTACGGTCGACGAGCTCAGAGTCCCTTTCTCACAGCTGAGCTCATCCACGTGTGGTGTGGAGCCCACAGGAGCCCCTTTCTCATGGACTTAAGTTCTGACTCCAAGGTACGGCGTCCACCCACACAGCAGAAATCTCAATTTCATTGGACTACGCGGCCCAGCTTTCGCTCACCCCCGATCCTCTGTTTCCCCTCTTGTCTTCGTTCCTTCCCCTCATCACCACGCCCCTCATCACCACGCCCCTCATCACCACGCCCCTCATCACCACGCCCCTCATCGCTACGCCCCTTGCTTCCCTTCCCGTTCTCCTCCGCCCACCGCTTTACCCAGGTGCTCAAGAGGCTCAAGGTTGAACACCCAGCACTGGGCGACACCGCAGTGAACCTCTTTCAACCGGACCCCAACTGGACGCTGCTGCTGCCGCACGTGCACCTGGTGCTGCTGCAGTCTGCCACCCACTGGCCGAATGCAGACAAATGGCTCCGCCGCTTCTTCACCGACCGCAAGTGGCAGCTGCTGGCTCGCCAGCCGGACACTTTTGAGGCGTACATGTGAGTGTGCTTGTAACGGGCGTGCTTCTAACGGGTTGGATTGTAATGGGTGGGATGGTAACGGGGTTGCTTGTAAAGGGCGTGCTCGTAATGGGCGTGCTTGTAATGGGCGTGGCTGAAATGGGTGTGCTTGTAACGGGGATATTAGCATGGTTACACCCAGCCCCAGCATGCACGTGCACCTGGTGCTGCTGCAGTCTGCCATCCACTGGCCGAATGCAGACAAATGGCTCCGCCGCTCCGACCGCAAGTGGCAGCTGCTGGCTCGCCAGCCAGACACCTTCGAGGCGTACATGTGAGTGTGCTTGGGTGTGCTTGTAACAGTTGGACTTGTAAGGGGTGTGCTTGTAATGGGTGGGTTTGCGATGGAGGCTGAGCTGCAAGCCCCTTAGCCCTCTACCCCTCTACCCCTCTAACCCTCCGCCCTATACGTCCTGTGGCCTTAACCCACCGCGCCCCTCACCTTTACACCCCTCCCTTTGCCAATCAGCGGTGCAATGAACGCGGTGAGGGAGAGGCTGAGCCGCAAGCCCTCCATTCCTCTGTCCTCCTGAGCTCACCCCATCGCTCTCCACTCCCGTACACCCCTCCTTTCATCCATCCAGGGGCGCAATGAACGCGGTGAGGGAGAGGCTGAGCCGCAAGCCGTCGAGCAAAGGTGGGCGCTACGTGGCCTACTTCCTCTCTGCGCCTCCCCGCCTGGCTGGCTGCCAGAACACAGTCACTCTGAGCCCCCCGGAGCAGGTATGTATGCGTGTGTTCATTCTGTGGGCTACCAGATGCGTGCATTTGTGTATGCATGCCACGTGGTCTACTTCCTCTCTGCGCCTCCCCGCCTGGCAGGCTGCCAGAACACAGTCACTCTGAGCCCCCCGGAGCAGGTATGTATGCGTGTGTTCATTCTGTGGGCTACCAGATGCGTGCATTTGTGTATGCATGTCACGTGGTCTACTTCCTCTCTGCGCCTCCCCGCCTGGCAGGCTGCCAGAACACAGTCACTCTGAGCCCCCCGGAGCAGGTATGTATGCGTGTGTTCATTCTGTGGGCTACCAGATGCGTGCATTTGTGTATGCATGCCACGTGGTCTACTTCCTCTCTGCGCCTCCCCGCCTGGCTGGCTGCCAGAACACAGTCACTCTGAGCCCCCCGGAGCAGGTATGTATGCGTGTGTTCATTCTGTGGGCTACCAGATGCGTGCATTTGTGTATGCATGCCACGTGGTCTACTTCCTCTCTGCGCCTCCCCGCCTGGCAGGCTGCCAGAACACCGTCACTCTCAGGCCCCCGGAGCAGGTATGCATGGACGTGCTAAGTGTATGAATTGCAGTATTCTTTGCATGTATGTATGTATGTGTGCATGCATGCATGCCACGTGGCCAACTTCCTCTCGTCCTGTCTGAATGAATGCACTGTATCAATGAATGCAGTTGCTGGCCTGACCGGCCTGACTGGCCTGACTGGCCTGACTGCGCTGACTGGGCTGATTGGCCTGTCTACTTGGACTGGTTCGACTGAATCCAACTACCCCGTTCCTCACTCCCTCCTACACCCAGGTGGCTTACCTTCGCTCCAATAACGCGCAGAGCAAGACCTGGTTCCTTCCAACAGGCCTGGCTAGCCTGACTGGTCTGAGCCTACTACCACACCAGTCTGTTACACTGCTCTGGCCCTGCTATTGAGTTGACTCAAAAGCCTACTACCACACCAATCTGCCACACTGCTCTGGCCCTGCTACACCCTCAACTTCCTTCCTCCCCCCACCCACCCATGCTCCTACACCCAGGTGGCCTACCTTCGCTCCAAGAACGCGCAGAGTAAGATCTGGTTCCGCACGCAGAAGCAGCTGTTTGGGCGGCGCAACTCGCGGGTGCGACTCCTTGACATCACGCACCCGTCGCTCGCACGTGCCGATGCCATGATCGGGTCGCAGGGCAAGGCGAGCATGGACTGCCTGCACCCCTGCCTGCCAGGGCTGCCGGACAACTGGGTTGATTTGTTTTATGCTGCCTGGATGGCAGACAAAGGCTTCTGATGCCGTAGTGTAGCTTTAGATTAGACGAAAGTGTACTGTATGTCACATAGATCGTTTCGGTAGCATACCTGTTCAGGTTGCACAGATTGATGTAAGTTGAAGATTTATAAGACGGTGTACCGACACCATGATTGGATCACAGGGCACAACGAGCATGGACTCCCTCCACCTCTGCCTGCCAGGCCTGCCCTGCCAGACAACTGGGTTTACCTATTTTATGCGGCTTGGATGGCTGACAAAGGCTTCTGATCTGTTGGTGTAATGTAGCTTTAGACTAGACGACAGTGTATTGTATCTGATTTTGCAACAGATCGTTAAAGTAGTATACTACGGTATTCAGGTTACACCAAGAGATGGAAGTTTTTGAAGGGATCGCAGTGTCGGGCGGGCATGGACTACCTGCACCCCGCTTGCTGGGCGAGCCTGCCTGACAACTAGGTTGACCATTTTGTGTGGCTCAGTCGTAGACAAGGGGAAGGTGTAGTATTGTTTGTACGAGATGGTTGCAGTTTGCGAAATGACTCATTGATTGGGTTGCATCAGCCAGTAACAATTGTACACTTGGCTGTTGAATGCAGGATGGATCTGGCACCTCAGGCAAAGACTGTTGATGGCATGAATGGTCCAGTCCAGCTGTTCATCACAGCCTGGTGCTAGGATAGGTTAGGATAGGCATACATGGTTAGGTAAGGGAATCAGCAGTGAGGTGAGAATGCTTGCTTCGTATAAACTACAATTAGACAAACACAGAAAGGATACAGGAAAGAATAAACCACTATAGGAGTAGTTTGGTCACTATATAAATAATGAAAGTCTACTGGACATACCTCTCCCTACTAAGCAGCTTTTGGCAACACCCTGATTCCAACGCGTGGCGAAACCCTCCCTCGAGCTCGTCGATGCTTCGCCAACGCCCTCATGTAACTCGGGTTCATTTCCCTCGCCAACTCCGGCGTCCAATGGCTTCTATCCATCGCCGCATTTCGCACAATTGGCTCATCGGCATTTTCGGTGGAATGTAGAACCACCAATTTACTGCTTTCGTCATCATCCACCGCAGTCGCCATTACCGCAGTATCTCCAAAGCTGCCACTGCTGGTACTCGCCACGCTGGCGACGGAAGCAGGATTCGTGTTAGACTTGCCCGGCTTGAACGTGTACGTGAGAATGCTTGTAATCGGTTTCTCCGCGGGCTTGACAATGTTGAATAGATTCATGTACGACTGGAAATCCACCTTTTTCGGCCCGCCCTTCTTCGTTGGGCAGCTTCGAAACTGCGGAAACGCCTTCTTGATCGGCGATGCAGGGGTCAGTGCGAAATCCATCGCTTTGACGTTTTTGAACCCGGCTTTCGCCAGCGAAGTCGAGTAATATCGCAGCGTGTTCAGCTTCGGGACTGACGGGAACGGCTTGCAGTTGTCCTGATAAAACACCCACTTGGTGGAGTTATCGGTCATCGCGGTGACGATTTCCGCGTAATTCTCCGTTGGAAGGCCTGAGCAACCACCGGTGACAGCAGCACCGTACTGGCTCCCCTGGTTGCAGTTGATGTTGTAGAGAGCTTTCTTGGCGCAGAAATTAGTGAGGTAGGGGAAGAACTGTGAGGAAAAGGGGGGATGGGAGGGAGTGAAAATGGGGGAGAGGTTTGAATCAACTGTCTGAAAAGTTAATGCTGTTTAGGCACAGGAACCGGCGAGGTAGGGGGAGAACTGGGACGGGAAAAAGGGGATTCACAGGTGGAGGTGGGAAGAGGGGGGATGAAGCTAGGGAGGGACACGAGATGCGAAGCTTAAACATGCAGAGCCTGCACTTGATGACACGTGGGGCAGCCTTGATGCACGTGGGGCAAGTTGATGGTTAGGCAGGGAAACACTGGGAGTATGGAAGATGGGTCAGGGGAGGGAAGAGTGCCTCTCTCTTACCTTCTTGATCCCCGGGGTCTGGTAGTTCTTGATCAGCTCGTCGTTCCACTTCTTGCCGTTGGGCTGGTTACAGTTGTTCACGTTGTAGTTCTGGCATGAGATGTACGCTGCTGAGAACGCTGACGCATCGATCACCACCATGCCCTGAATGTGGTTGCTGTGGGGGGGAACAGGGAGGTGTGGGAAGGGGTGGGTGGGAGGGGGAAGAGAGCAAAGGGAGGGAAAATGGAAGGGGATGAGTTGGTGAAATTAGCACAGGGGGAGTTCACGTTGTAGTTCTGGCATGAGATGTATGCTGCTGAGAACGCTGACGCGGGGAAAAGGTGTGGTTGCTGTGGGGGGGAACAGGGGGGATTGGGGGAGGCGGGGGGGGGGGGGGGGGGGGGGGGGGGAGGGGGTGGGGAAAGGGAGGACGGGGAAGATAGAGGAAGCTAAGGAGGGAAACTGGAAGGGGGAGAGGAATTTTGACCACCTTGGACCCACTACCTCCCACCATTGACCAACGCTGACCCACAAAACACCATCATTGACCAGCGTTGACTCACTATTTCCCGGTGTTAAGCTTGAGGCCGTCAGCCGTCCGATCGCACACAAGCCCATCCACGATAACTCCAGACGACACCCAGTCGAGGTACAAGCAGTGCTCGCCTCTCCGCACATAGTTACACCGCAGGATATTCCCAGGGTTCACCCAGTGCGTGTCCATGTAAATCCCCGCCGAGTCGCCGAGCGTCGAGAACGTGTGCACCATGTTGTTCCGCATCACGTTACTCAGCATCGCGTCACCCACGTTCGACTGCCCGAACCCGATCTGCAGGCTCGCGAGCGAAAACTCCGAGATGCGGTTGTTAAACACGTTCACGCCCACCGCGTTTCGATACAGCATCAGCCCGATCTCCGCGCCTTTCCCGGGCGGTCCCTGCGCGATCATGTTGTTGTTCGTTATAAGCACGTTGCTGCGGATGAGGTTTGGCCCGTCGCCGGACAGCATGACGACGATCGCGCCGGGGTAATCTAACGGGTGGACGTTAACGGTCATGGAGTCGATGCGCGTGTGCGACGCGCGGGAGACTTCGATCCGGCCGAACGTTCGTCCCTGCGTGACCTGGACCGCCCATACGCGATACAGCCAGATCGCGGGGCATTTCCACTTGCCGATGAAATCGATGTAGCGCGTTTCGAGGTACTGGCAGTCGGGGTTGGAAGCCAGTGGTGCGAAACCTTGCACGTTGATGCCGTTAACGAGGATGTTGCTAGCGAAGACAATTCGCATGGGAGGGTAACTGGTGGGAAGGGTAGGATGGGATGAAGGACGGAAATACTGAGTGCAGATCGTTTAGTGGACTCTGGTTTCTTCGAAGTGTTGTTGTTTGGCTTCATTACTTGGTGAGCATACCATACTTTCCAAAATGAAATGTTTGTTTTGTATCGAGTTTTTAGGCATCTCACTTCTTATCGGTGGCGGAGAGCGTGAATTTTTTGGCGCCCTTGGAGCGCAGCACCGTGCAGTTGAACTTGCCGTCCAGCACCAACGGATTCTTCAGCTTCAAGTCCTTCGTCAGGAACATGCGCACTAGCTGGGATAAGGGGGGGGGGGGAGGGGAAGGGCAAAGGGGAAAGGGGAATGGGGGAAGGGGGATGGGGGCGCAGTAGGCGACTTAAGAATGTCCTCTGGGATCTTAAGCTTCATGTCCGCCGTGCAGTTGAACTTGCCGTCCAGCACCAACGATTCTTCAGCTTCAAGTCCTTCGTCAGGAACATGCGCACTAGGTGTCGGTGCGGACGGGGAACGGCAACGGAGAACGCAGCAGGAAGTGGATTGTGGAGGGGTTATGTCGGGTTAGGTGGGCAGGGGGGGGTGAACGGGGGCGAGAGCGCGGGGGAGAAGGGGGAGGGAGGTGGGGGGGAGGGGGTTGATAAACACGCGCACCAATTGTTGCTGGGGAAGGGGGAGGGCGACGGGGAGGGGGGAGGGTGGGGAGTGGGGGTTGAGGGGAGGGAGGTGGGGGGGAAACAGGATAAGGGGGAATGGGGAAGGCGGCGCGGTGAGGCGCCTTACCACAAGCAGTATAGCTTTTTCTCCGCAGCAGTATCGAGCTCTTTACGTTTCGCTCGCTGTTTTTAAGCGCAACCATGCGCAGGTCAGAAATGGTCGTACCTGCGTGGCTGGGTATTGGGTTCGCTTGGCGAAATCGGCCTCTACTGCGATGTTGATCTCAGGAACCGGATTGGCCACTGTGCAGGGCCCCGCGGACACTGGGAAAAGGGCGCGGAGGGAGGGGAGGGGCAGGAGCAGGGGAAAGAGGTGGAGAGGCCGATAGGGGGAAAAGGGGGAAAGGGAGAGTGAGAAAAAAAAAAAAAAAAAAAAAGCATGCTCGCCATAGGGCTTACACGTTATAGGACGTATCGCTATCGGACGTTTCCTACATTGGGCGATCGTTTTTGTCTATGGGTGCTCTATAGCTGTACTATAGGAGTGCGATTGGGAACCGTACAGCGAAGGCGTACCTTGTCGCACAGCGACGGAGAGAAGAGCGGAAAGGGCGTAGAGTGTGAGGAGCCAAGCGACGTGCGACGCCATGCCGACGCTCGGACGCGGCGGCGACGAGCCTCCGTCTCGCATGCCGTACGGTTTAAGCCACTAAGTACCGCAAACGTCAGAACTATCCGAAAGGCGGTGGTCTGCTTGAAGACAACAGCGCTCGAGCATCAATAGGACTCTTCTTGACCGAAGGACGAAGAATGAACAAGCTCCAGGCGGCTGGAGAGCGCGATAAATATTTTTCGAGGAGCAGCTAGATCGGGCGGACTATCACTGGCTTATCGTAGAACAAAGTGAGACGCGATGATGGGACAGTTTATCCGTGCTAGGCAATGAGGTTGTTGGAATGCAATGCAGACAGGAGAGGTGGATGAATGAACTATTTTGATCTTGGGCTAGATCGCTGAAAATGGTTTGGAACGGTGACACTTTTTGCCAAAGAGGGTGAGTACGGTGAGTGCTCTCATCAAGGGAGTTCTGAGATGAGCGCTGTTGTGCGATTGGTTTGGCTTGCTGTCGGAGAATAATGGAGGCATGTGGGTGGGGGGGGGGGGGGAAGGGGGAGGCTGACATGGTTTACGAAACGGCCGTTGAGGCTGGCGAGAGCACCGTCGGGCCAGCGAGGTTACCGAAATTCGCTTTTCATTCGGTAGCGTCGCGATCCGCCACAATGTCCCCAAGGCATGCCCAGCTTGGAATTGGTTGAGCGGCGCACCCATTCCGGCGGCGAACATGCCCCGCGTTCTTCCTGGTTGCGACGGAGGAGGAACTTTCGCGAGGGTTCGGACCGCGAGAGTTCGGGGAGCCAAACGCTCGCGGCACGGTGCAGTCACCACATTCGGGTCGCGGTGGGGGCAGGCTGGCGGGCTGGTTGGGGGTTTTGCGCTAGCCTGCGCCAGCGCTTGTGCGAACGCCAGTGCAAGCGCAGAGCCAACCTGTCTGCTTTCGGTTCGGTTCTCCCAAACCAACCAACCCAACCAATCACCGTCACATCATCAACGACCTGTCGTGAAAAGGGGTAGGCTTTACCCATCTCAGCACATGACATGACGATGGCGAAAACTTCACAACCACCGTGGGTGGCCGGCATTCCCCACGTTGCGAAGACGGAGTTCGGCAGCGTTCTTACCATCGCCGACAAGTCGGGTAACGACAGAACGTGTCCCCTCCCCGCATGTGGAGAATCGTGCGGTGCTTCCTTGCTTCAACAACCGTACACGAGGTGATGAGGCTCACCACGGGCAGTAAAGGTGGGTTCTGCCTTCGGGGGGTACCTGGATGAAATACGAAAAACAACGTTTAGCGGCCTTCCTTTTTCAAGCAGAATGAACTGGCACAATTAGACTCTTCACTCTGGCAAAACCATTAGACACTTTCTCTACAGAACTCTAGAGGGTCGAAAAATATAGTGTATAAAAAAAACACTTAGGGAAGGGACCAAGGTTGGCAAGGTTAAAAGAAAACAAGCAAAGGTTGGACAGACCAAACAAACCGAACCTAGAGATGCTTTGAAGCAAAGGGAGTTTTTTCTACATTGACAGCCTCGGTAAAGTGTTATGACGGTTGAAACAAGGTGCGGTGGAAGTAGTGGATGGACAATATGTTACTTTATTATAATATTACAACCAATGAACAAAATATGGAAAGTTCTGTGGGTATAGCCTAAGTCATGCTGGTTACACCTTTTGCCGCCATGCTGGTTGGCGGCCACTGTGACGACGGGCATAGAACCTCAACCATTTCCGCATAGTCAGCATAAAATCAGGACGCAGCTCTCGCTCCAGTTCCGCACTCCACTTGGTTGTAGCATATGGATTCGGCTGTAGTGTCACATTGCCAGACACTTCCCCGCCTCCATACACCGCGAGACTTGCTATGCTCCCAGGCTGTGCAATGGATGCTGGCTTGGCAGCAATTGGCTTCATGGCCGGCAGAGGGAAGTTGAAAAGATTGAAATACGTAGCGTAGGACACGTTTTGCGGACCAATCTCGTTCACTGGGCAGCTTCGGAAAGTCGCAAATTTTTTCAGGATTGGCGAAGCGGAAATCAGGCTGTAGTCGCGGTTCTTCACGCTCTTGAACCCCGCAGCACTAAGTTTCACAGGCAGGTAGGTCAGCTTGTTTAACTTGGGCACGGCAGTGAAAGGAGCGCAGTTGGAATGGGTGATAACAAGGCGAGTGGAATTATCAGTGGTGGCAGTTACGATCTCGGCAATATTTTCGGTGGGCAGCCCGGAACATCTGCCGGTGGCGGAAGGCCCGGGAGTGGACGAAGTGCCTTCATTGCAGTTGATTTTATTGATAGATGTCTTGTTGCAGAAGTTGGTGAGGAAGGGGAAGAGCTGGTGGGGAGGCGTGGGGGAGGGAGGAGGAGCAAGGGGGTACTTAAGGAAGTCAAGAGGAGGAAGATAATGGGAAAGTAATAGCAGAGCTGCCTTGGTTACTGTTGATGCATTTAATGGGAGATTTGCCAGAGGAGTTGATGAGGGAGAGGAAGAGCTGGTGGGGAGGGGTATGGGGTGGAGGAAGGAGGGAAGCTAGGAGAAGGGATACAATAGTGGTTGCAAGGCACATGGCATAGAGTCTCTTCTCATGTAGCACGCATGTGAAAGCAACAGCTCACCTTCTTTATTCCTGGCGTCTGGTAATAGGTCAGAAGGTCGTTGTTCCATTTGATCCCATTGGGCTTGTCACAGTTGTTCACTCCGTAGTTCTGACACGAGATGTACCCTGCTAGTGGCTCCTTGCTGTCTATTATCACCATCCCCCGCACCTCATTACTGGAACACACAAGGCGAAGGGTTGGAGGGAAGAGGTGCGCAACAAAATTAGTATACCCATGGGATAGCGTGATGCCACCATTGGGGGGGCTATGAGGGGAGGTTAGGAGGAAAAGGGAGAGAGCAGCAGGAAACAGTGAGTCAAGAACCCATGGGATAGCGTGATGCCACCTCTGGTGTAAACCGGAAGAGGATATTTTTACAGTTTCTAACATAAATTTCTACAACTCACTTCTTGCCAGTGTTGAGCTTCATTCCATCGGCTGTTTGCTCGCACACGAGCCCATCCACGACTGTTCCCGACGACACCCAGTCGAGATACAGGCAGTGCCCGCCCCGCTGCACGTAGTTGCACCGGAGGATATTCCCGGGGTTTACCCAGTGCGTGTCGAGGTAGATACCCGCGCTGTCCCCGAGCTGCCCGAAGCCGTGAATAATGTCGTTCTTGGTGACCAGGGCGAGCATTGCGTCTCCCACGTTGCTCTGTCCCCACCCCAGCTGCAGGCTGGCGAGGGAGAAGTGCGATATGCGATTGCCTATGACGTCCACTCCCACGGCTCCCCGATAGAGCATGATGCCCACACTGCAACGGGAATGGGAGGGGGAAGAGGAGAGAAGGGGAGGTCAGGGAGGGAAGAGGCCATGCTCGCGAGGGTGAAGTGCGATATGCGATTGCCGATGACGTCGACTCCCACCGCTCCCCGATATAGCATGATGCCCACACTGCAGTGAACGGTAGGAGGAAGAGGAAAGAAGGGGAGGTGAGAGGGGAGGCCGGGTGTCAAGTGGGAGAGAGGTGCGAGGCGAGGCGAGGCGAGGCGAGGGAGAAGTGCGATGTGCGGTTGTCTATTAAAACGTTCACGCCCCACGAACGACTTCTGAGAATTCTCAGATGTGCTGCTGTCTATTATCACGTTCACACGCCCCACGAACGAGGAGCAACCAACGTGGGCGAGGTAGATCTCTTGGGAGCAAGCTTCAGGCCAGCGAGAAACAAGTGCGACGTACGCGGCGCCCTGCCCCATGGTGCCCTCAGTGGGGACGTTGTTGTTGGAAATAACCACGCTGCTGCTTCACATGCGCACACCGCCGTACTGAACAGAACAGAACAGACCAAACGCAAACCCATCCCAAACCTCCCCAGGTTGACTCACGCGGCGCCCTGCCCCATGGTGCCCTCCGTGCGGACATTGCTGCTTGAAATAACCACGCTGCTGCTCCATACGCTCACATATCTGCACTGAAGTAACCAAAATCAGAACCAAAGCAGAGAGACTCACGCGGCGCCCTGCCCGATGGTGCCCTCCGTGCGGACATTGCTGCTTGAAATAACCACGCTGCTGCTCCATACGCTCACATATCTGCACTGAAGTAACCAAAATCAGAACCAAAGCAGAGAGACTCACGCGGCGCCCTGCCCGATGGTGCCCTCCGTGCGGACGTTGTTATTTGAGATGACCACGTTGCTGCGAATGAGGTTGGGTCCGTCCCCCGACAGCATCACCACTATGGCTCCGGGTTGGTTTGTTGCCTTCACGAGCACGTCCATTGAGTCGATCCGCGAGTGGTTCGCCCGTGCCACCTCAACACGCCCATACACGTTGCCCTGGATGTAGGAAAGGAGACGAGGGGACAGGGATACGAGGATAGAATGATGAGAGCACATCCATTGGGTCAATGTGCGAGTGGTTCGCCCGTTCCACCTCCACCCGCCCGTAAACGTTGCACTGCCAAGGCGAGAGGAGGAGAGTAGGATGAGAGATCATCCATCCATTGAGTCAATCCGCGAGTGGTTTGCCCGTGCCACCTCCACCCGCCTGTACACGTTGCCCTGTCAGGGTAAGAGGAAGGTAGGGATGGGGAGGAGGATCGGAAGATGAGGAAGACAGGGAGAATGGCAGCGTCGCCACGATGGCTCCGGGCTGACTGGTCGCCTTCACGAGCACATCCATTGAGTCGACGTGATTGAAGAAGGGTTTTGAGACGTCTCAAAACCCTTCTTCAATCACGTGGCAGCGTCGCCACGATGGCTCCGGGCTGACTGGTCGCCTTCACAAGCTGATCCATTGAGTCGACCCGCGAGTGGTTCGCCCGTGCCACCTCCACTCTCCCGTACACGTTGCGTTGGATTCAAGAGGAGATGAGGAGGACAGGACTATCAGAGGGATAGGATACGAAGTGGGTTGGGAGCTGAGGGGGATGGAAAACGAGGTTGGATATGAAGGGCAGATACAATACAATGCAGCAGAGTGTTACAGTGGACGTGAGAGGGACTGAGAGCGTACCTGGACCACTTGTACACCCCACACTCGGTATAGCCACACAGCAGGGCACGCGTATTTGCCGATGAAGTCGATATAGCGCGTCTCGAGATAATTGCAGTCCAGCTGCCCGACAGTCGAAACGGGCATCTTGAAATTCACTCCAATCACCAACACATTGTTTGTGTTGACGATTTTCGTTACCATGGTGCTGGAGGTGGGGAAAAGGGGTGAAAAGAAGCGGGTGAGGGGAAAGGGGCGAAGGAAAGGGAGAAAATAGATTAGATGGCGAAAACAAAGAGAAACAGCACATGGCGGTATGAGAAAGTGGAGAGAGAGGAAGAGTTGGTGGAGAGCAGTGGAGAGCGGTTGGGAGCGTTGGAGAGCGGGGTGGAGAGCGGTGGAGAGCGGTAAAGAGCGGTGGAGAGTGGAGAGCGAGTGGAGAGCGGAGTCGAGAGCTGTGGAGAGCGGTGGAGAGGGGTGGAGAGAAGCAGCACATACTTGACGGAGGGCGACATGAGGTCAAAGGCGCGGTCTGTGTCAGAGCGGAAGACGGTGCAGCTGAGCTTCGCATTAAGTAGCGAGAGTTGAGAAGGGGTGGAGAGCGGTGGAGAGAGGTGTCACATACTTGACAGAAGGTGAGATGAGGTCGAAGGCGCGGTCTATATCGGAGCGGAAGACGGTGCAGCTGAATTTCGCGTCCATCACAAAGGTGTCCGTCAGGTTAATGCTCGCCTTGAGCACCATCGTCACGTACTGCATATGTTGGGGAGGTGAGGCGTAGGGGTGCAGCGAAAACGAAGGAAAGCCGCGTTTGAAGACGTCTCAGGTCTGAGCGGTCGCCTTGAGCGCGCCGTTGTCACGTACTGATGTTGGGGAGGGTAATCACAGGGAAGTGCTAACGTGCGGCGCGAAAACGTGCGGCGCGAAAACGACGCGGAAGGGCGTCGAAGAAAATATAATCCGATTCAAAGGAAAGGAAAGGCAGAGCGCGAGGGAGGGCGCAGGGGAGCACGCGCCGAGGAAGGGAAGGCGAACAGCGAGGAGGCTCGCGAGCGAGCGAGCGATTTACTTTGAGTTAAGAGTTCCAAGAGGCGCACCTGATTGGCGGGGTAGTTCTTTCGAAGGTAGAGGTCGGACTCGCGCGTCACGTTGATCAGCACTCGGGGGAGGAGGCACGGCGGCGCTGCGCGGAGCGGGAAAGCGACAGCACGTGCAGCGGGAAATGCGGAGCAGCAAAGAGGAAACGATGCGGGGAGGTGGGAGGGATGGGTAACGTTATTGGAGAATGGACGGAAGGATGGAAGTATGGAATGTGATTGGAATTTTTTTCAAGAAGCCGACACGAGGTGCTGTGGCAACGAATGGAAGGGTATGTGATATGCATACCGGATTGTGACTGAGAGACGAGAGAGAGAAGGGCCACAACGACGGGAAGCGCCGCCATTGGAAAGAGGCGGGCCTGCGATCAAGGGGTGGTAGTCAGACTCGCGCGTATTGTAATCGTAAGCGTAACAGCCGGAAAAAAACAGAATTTCCTGTCGAAAAGGAAAGGGTCTATCGTTTTGGGTACTCTGCGAATGCGCCATCCCGCGGGGCGCGTGGTGATCGACACACCTAACCCTCGCCGCGCGAAAATTGTAACGCACCGTCTCACGAAATCTCCGCATTCTGAAATATCTCTTCAGGAAGCACGACAAGCTGGGCCGACGCGACAGCAGGTGTCACGTAACGTGATCCGCGCGTGGAGTGCTGTACGCTTGTAACTACAGGTCCCTTCAATCTTTCTGCTAGGGGGGTATTGATCAGTTTACAGTGCGGTTCGGGGTTACCAGAAGCGGGTCTTATCGAAGACACGGAAAGACAGAGGAGCTAGTATCCGCGTCGAGGAAACGTTTAGGAGCCACTTGAATGAAGCAGAGATTTGAAGTTAGGAAAAGGTACATACAATAGTAGGTGTGCGTGAAGGGAACATAGAGCCAAGGGAGGGGGGATCTGGTACAGGAGAAGGGCATGTGCGAGGTGGGTATGGGACAATACCATGGGTTGGTTCAGGTCGAGTGTTGGTCTGGTCTAGGAAGACAGGAATGGGAGAATCGGAGGGCGGACGTGCTTTGTAATTATTCGAGGATGGGGCGGCGGCAGCTGGTGCCGATGCGAGGGAAAAGCGCCCGACTTCTCTGCATCAGGTGACTGCGAAACAGCGGTGCGCACTCTCAGGGGACGGTGTTTGTCGACGAGCTCTGCGAAAATTGCCGCAGCCGTCAACCGTGATAACTCTGTGGTAAGTAAGCTGATGACGAAGCCAGATGTTCATGTTACACATAGAATCGCCATTTCGCCAAGAACAGCGCATCAGCAATCCTGCTCCGTTTCTGGCGGCTGGCAGGTTGATCGAAAACAGAACCAACCATGCACTTTGGCATGACGCCATCGGAAGGATGATACAGTCGATGCTCAGCCTATCACAAAACATTTGCTCTCACAATTAGAAATTTAGTCACTCGCGAACGTTTTGCCCGTGAGTGACTAAATTGATCATTGTGCCGATTTCAGGGTACAGTCACCAAGTTGAGGAAAAAAAACATCTACAGTTCATAAACAACAACGGTTGCCCGTCATCAGAGAAGTTAACCTGGTTATGAAATTAAAACCCTTGACTCGATTCACGTTGCAATTTCATTTTACAGTCACATTTTTGCCCGTGGCGACAAGGGCGAACGTGGCGAAATGTGTCAAACTCGTTTCACGCACATGCCGCCCGCCTACCTGGTGTTCTTGAAATGGGCACCGACTGTACCACCACCAACCAGGTCTCTTCTTTGTCCGAGCATGGAGGGTGACGGTCGAGAGAAGAAAGTACTGTAACTTACCGCACAACGTGTAGAAAGGACACGAATGCCGCCCTCTGATGAGGGTGTGCCTGGCTGGTGGTGTGCGGTGGTGACCTGCCACTCTGATTTTCGGTGTGGTGGTGAGGAGTTCACGTCAGCTGTCGAGCACAAGTCGTTGCCATGTTCCTGCTACAATGTGTACGCTTTTGAATTTATTCAACTCGACCTCACGAGCATTACGTTACACCCATCATTTCCGTTTCAGACATCCTCTCCACTCTCCCACCACATCCACCACCTCACCGTATCCACCTTTTTCCTCGTGTACCCGCAGAATTTCCATGAATTTATGTTATTTTTTCTTGAGTGCCAGGATAAAAACTCGCAATTTGTGTTGTCAGTAGATTGCACGCATGGAATATGCAATGCTTTTGCGCCATGACTTGTGTGCTGCTGGCTAGTCACCCCAATTCTTTTGGTGCGGGGCACTACATCTCTTTCATAGATCATGCATGCGAGTACATTGCTGGGCTGGTGGGTAAGGTATGGCTACCTAAAATAGCGAACCTTGATTGAAATCGTACAACATGGAATGTAGAAAAAAAAGGGATGGCATGGCATACTTGTAATTTACGCCAAGAACCACACATTCACGCCTTTTGCAGGGGCGCCCGATTACGGCCAGGGTGCGGTGCATTGAATCTCGTCCACTTCCGCATGGTCATCATGAATCCAAGCTGCATCTCTCTTTTCAGTCGACTCAAAAGTCATCTCATGCCTTCTGCAGGGGGGGTGGCTGCCGGCCGGGGTGCCGTGCATTGAACCTCATCCACTCCCGCATGGTCATCATGAATCCAGGCCGCAGCTCTCGCTCCAGTTGCGGGCTCCACTTGGTTGTAGCGTACGGGTTCGGCTGTAGCGTCACCTTCCCAGACACCTTCCCTCCACCATACCCCACATTGCTCGATGCGCTCCCATTCTTTCCGACCGATGCAGGCCGGGCAGCAATCGGCACCATCAATGGAACGTCACGATTGAAAAGGGCGAAGTATTCTGTATAAGGCACATTTTTCGGGCCAATGTCCTGCACCGGGCAGCTTCGAAAAGTTGGGAGCATTGCCCGGATCTGCGAGCTGTCAAGAAGGCCAAAGTCTCGGTTCTCCACACTCCTGAAACCGGCAGCACTAAGTTTCACGGGCAGGTAGGTCAGCTTGTTTAATTTTGGCATGGCCGTGAAGGGATTGCAGTTAGAGTGGTGGATAACAAGGCGGGTGGAATTATCAGTGGTTGCTGTGACGATCTCGGCAATGTTTTCGGTGGGCAGCCCGGAACATCTGCCCGTAATGTTAGGTCCGGGAGTGGTTAAAGTGCCCTCATTGCAGTATATTCCGTTGATGGAGGTTTTGTTGCAGAAGTTGGTGAGGAAGGGGAAGAGCTGGTGGGGAGGCGTCCGGGAGGGAGGAACACGAAAGGTATAAAAGCATTGAAAAATGAATTCATGAGGGCAAAACCCAAAAGCAAAACCCTTGTGAATGGGTCCAAACAACCCCAAGTATTCATTTTAAAAAACAGATGCAATGTAGCTCACCTTCTTGATCCCTGCCGTCTGGTAGTAGGTGAGAAGGTCGTTGTTCCACCTGATCCCATTGGGCTTGTCGCAGTTGTTCACTCCGTAATTCTGGCACGAGATGTACCCTGCTAGCGACTGCTTGCTGTCTATAATCACCATTCCACGAATTTCGTTACTGGAACAACACACGAGGGGCAGAGAACAGGTGGAATGGGATGGAATGAGGTGGAATGCGGTGGAATGAGGTGGAATGTGGTGGAGAGAGTGGAGCGTTGGAAAAGCAAGTGACAGAGTGCCCTTGTACTCACTTCTTTCCCGTGTTGAGCTTCAGTCCATCGGCTGTCTGATCGCACACGAGCCCATCCACAATCACTCCCGACGACACCCAGTCAAAGTACAAGCAGTGCCCGCCGCCCCGCACGTAGTTGCACCGGAGGACATTTCCCGGGTTTACCCAGTGCGTGTTGAAGTAAATACCCGCACTGTCCCCGAGCTGCCCGAAGCCGTGAACGAAGTCGTTCTGAGCAACGAGGGTGAGCATGGCGTCTCCCACGTTGCTCTGCCCCCACCCCAGCTGGATACTGTTGAGGGTGAAGTGTGATAGGCGGTTGCCTACCACGTTCACACCCACTGCTCCCCGGAACAGCATGATTCCCACACTGGAGTGAATGGGGTGGTGGGGAGGGAGAGAAGAGAGGGCAACGAGGGTCAGCATTGCGTCTCCCACGTTGCTCTGCCCCGACCCCAGCTGGATACTGTTGAGGGTGAAGTGTGATAGGCGGTTGCCAATGATATTCACGCCCACTGCTCCACGGAACAGCATTATGCCAACACTGGAGTGAATGTGGTGGTGGGCAGGGGAGGATAGAGGGCAAGAAACCAGAACTTCAAACATCTGGAAGCGGCACATTCTTGACTCTCCTGCACGTATCATTGCTGCACCTGTGAAAAGATCACTCAAAAGCGAGAATTCTCAATAGGGACTCCAACGCATTGCTGCACATGGAAGCATAAGGTAGGTGACCTACACCCAGAACAGAAAATTGAGAGAAAAAAAAAGGAGCTGCTTTCCCGGATTTACTCACGTGGCGCCCTGGCCCATGGTGCCCTCTGT